TCCGTGCTTCCTTGAAGCCGGGTGCAACTAGATCTTATTGCTGGTTCAAGGGCTGACTTAAGAGTTTGCACTTTCATCACTCGTTGCTATTTAACACTAGGATAACCGAACTGTAAAATTTGGATCACAGAAACGACAGCGTTTCACAATGTTTTATTTATATATTTTACGAAAAAATACTTGAGTATTATACAGTCTAATGATTCTGGTATTAAAGCTTCAAATATTGAGAAATATTTGGAAAATTTATTATTATGATCATGAATTTTCATATGATATTGATCGAAATCGGGTATTAAAAAGAATTATTCTTTCTTATACGCGTGTTCAACGATATTATCATTATCAAAGAAATTCATTATCGAACCATTTTCAAAGGCGGAAGTCTTTCCATGATCTTCACAATTTAAAATCTTCCTTAATTATCACTACAAATTTATCGAACAGCGTAATATTCGCATAATAATTATTATTATTTATGTTAATTAACGAACCAGACAGTTGGAAAAACAACGATTTTTTTTTTTACTTCAAGTGAAGTGTGTTACTTCACATGGTTAGAACATTCATTCTGCTATATTTATCTTCAATGAATGAGAAGCACAACAGCCGAAAAGAGAAAAATTAGAAATAGCTGCCAGATATTTCCAATATTTACGGACGGTATTACAGAATATTATATTTCTCGATGGTTGATGTTTTATTTGTACGGAAATCAATCACGCGTTAGGCATTAATTGGAAATGAATCGTACTGAACAGATTGGTCTCCTAATTGAAACCCTCGAGTACTGATGTAAGTTAAACAACGACGTTGATTGATTTTATGCGCCGCAACGATGACTTTTTTTTCTTTTTTTTTTTTTTTTTTTCTTCTTTCGTCAGCTGTGATCGATCATTATTGACCGGGAATTGTAATGGAAAAATGGGGATGTTAATTTACGAGTGTGCTTGACATATTGGATAACGTATGACATAGATAATTCTAAGAATACTTTCCAAGTGTGTGTGTGTTATGTGTGTGTACATGAGCGTGTGTCACAATGACTTTGAGAATTAGTGAATCGAAATATTTCATCTCATTATATCGGTACTCGTTGATGTATGATAATTTTCGTGGAGTAGATTTTATAGTTTACTACACGGACGATGATATAAAATTTAAATCGAATACTTTAAAATCAAGTAATCTAAATTAAAATGTAAATATCTACAAATTATATTTATTTCCAGCGAAACTGGTTTCAAGTGCATGCTTTATATCATGTCTATATTAATACGAACATTACGTTATATGATTTGTTATGATAATTAAAAAAGATATTTGATTAGACGTTTGCCATATATAATACGAGTCTTATCTTGAAAAATTGTTTGAATAGTGAAACACATCAGATAATTAGATACAGTATTGAACTATACTATTAAATTAAAAAATAAATAAATTAATAATTTAAAATGTAACTAATAAGGTACAATTATAGTTTCTTAGTTTCAATATCATATACCATACTTATTTTATGGTGTAAAGTATACTCAGAAAATCACTATAAATTTGTTCAAAGTTGCAATTCAGATTCAATTTCACCTGTAACTTTAACTTTATCATTTGCATCGTCTGATACAAGCGAAGTATTGCAATCTTAAATCCTTGAAATACGTGCTCATTTTCTGGATAACAACTACTTCGGAGAAACTTTAATACCAATACTTCCTAGGAAACGATTAACGATAACTTGAGGATTAAATGTGTTTCGCACAGACAACGCGAAAAGCTTCTTATCCTTGGGAAATCCGTAAAAGACTTATTATTACGCGGCAATTTCTCGAAAAGTAAAGCTTCTCAATCGACACGTTATAATTTATACTTTCTCATCACTTTACACTTTTCGTTCAAAGACTAATTTTTTTCTCAGGAGAGAAGTAATTTCAAGATATTAAGAAATGCCATTCTTGTTTGCAAATATATTTTAAAATATTTTAATTATAATATATGTAAATTAATATATAATATATGTAACATTAATGTATGTAAATTATATATAAATATCTAATGTACAATATTTTAAAATATGTTATTGTATGGCAACAATATCAAATACAATTTCTTGGAAAAATATTAGTTTTTAAATAAAAAATGTAATAAAAAAGCAATGAAAAGTACAAATTACGAAATAACAATTGGAATATTCTCCTTCCCGAAATTAAAAATATATAAAATATTCTTTTAAAAAATTCCAAAATTTAAATAAAAAGTTAATTGAATTGAGATTAATACCGCAATCGTCAGGATCATTGATTTCTAAAATTAATATTTAAAATGTATTAATATTAAAATTAAATATTGTAGAAGATCATAGCCTTTAATTTCTGTTGGATATTTCACAACGTATGATCCATAAGATAACAGATTTATTCTGCACTTTCTTCACATCTAAAACGTTCACTTTGATTTTATAAATAAAGGATCATTTCATAACTATTGATTTCATCATTGAGTTGAATCTACACTTGAATATAAATCACGGAGAGTTTAAGCGCTCTAATCTTTCTCGAGATCGACATTTCAGACCACCAAGCCTCATATGACGTCATATCTATTCTACGCTTCGTCTGTGATAACAGCGACGTGAATCAAGATGGCAATGCGAAGCGAGTAATCTCGTGTAACATTTCCTCAAGATAGTGCTGCAACGTGAACGCAGTTCTCAAGATCGTTTAACAAGAGTTTCGTTACGATAGACCAGAACATCGTTGTCAAAGATGATGGAAATTAGAAGACAAAGCATAGGCGTGCCTAATCATCAAGCAAACGGTGTTGCACAGGTCAAAGAAAACGGGCTCTTTGACGATGTCTCTGCCCCTTCGACGAAGGGAGTCGAAAACCACGAACAGCGTGGTTTCCAACAGTATTAGGTGACTATTGCATCGCATAAATAGAATATGAAAGGGGGAATATCTCTACAGCCGACGCTATAGCGACAGTACTCCTCGATTTCCTTTGACATCGGCAATCGCTCTCTGCGCTGTTGCACTTCAATCACCGTCCTGTCCTTTCATCGATTCGAACGTATCGTAACGTAACATGATTTCCCATATGAAATAGTTTCCTGCATTTTTCTCTGTGCAGTATCGACGCACTTTCCACAGACCGAAACAAAGCGACAGATATTAGCATCGTTTCAACCATGCTTTCCT